ATACAGATTCAAATGACTTTTCTTTCAGACCTTTCACAACAGAGTAACTATAATTCTGAAAAGAGCCATGGATAGTGAGGCAGACGGCTCAATCACAAAGGATTATCATTAATCTTAAAGTCATATTCAAATTTGAGTCTCAGCAAGAATATAAATAATTCCATGTCATAGATTTCTGGGGTCAAATGTAATGCTTAAAATTTAAAGTGCTGAAACTTTAAATGCCAAGGTTATTCTGTGGTTGCATGGTAAGTCTCTGTTGACTGAATAAGCTATAAAATTCTAACTCTTGAACCATCTAGAAAGTACATGTGCTGCATTCTTGAACTTCTTAATATTTTGTTCATTTTAATCTTCATCTGTTTGAATGATTAGATTCCTAGCCATGATGTTTACAACTTACTTACTGTAAATGTACTAAACAATTTTGTGGTCTATGGTCTTTTGTTAATAAGGACTGTGGTGAATTCTAGTTCCTATCTGTAGCTGACTGGCCATTAGGGTAGGCTCAATCTATTCTAATAAGCAAACATATACTAAAATGAGCTAATTAGAAGATAACATTTCCAATTTTCTTGTTCTTTCTAAAAAGATTAATTGAAAAGACCAATGAATATTTTTAAAGTTGCCCAAATATGACATAATATTATATATATAGGCAGTGATTAAGATCCTTTGATCACTATCCAAACAATACATTAGAATGACACTGTCTTCATGTGGATGGGTGAAAAGCCACTAAGAAAGAGATATGCAAAGTTAGAGAATTACCAAATGGTATTTGGAAGCTAAATTTAGATAATATAGGGCTGGGGTCATGGCTCAGTGATAGAGTGCTTGCCTAGCATGCATGAAGCACTGGGTATGATCCTCAACACCACATAAAAATAAGATACTGTGTCCAGCTAAAACTAAAAAATAAATATTTAAAAAAAAATTTAGATAATATTTAAAGCTAATTTAAAAAATAGCCTTACATACAATTTCTCAGTATGCACTTTATCCTCCTTTCTAGGGCTGGGGATGCTGCTCAGTGGTAGAGCATTTGCCTAGTGTATGGGGGGGGCCCACATTCAATCCCCCTGTATAGGGTGCTGGAGTCCCTGTCCCCAATTAGCAACAGATTATTCAGTCAGGGAGACTTGGGTTCAGATCTTGGCTCTATTACATTTTTTAAATTTGAGTAACTGTTGAGTCACTTATTTCACTTCCTCAAATATCAAATTTTTAATCTGTAAAATGGGAATGCTATCAGATGAAATGATTAAATGGGACACTGTATAAGTACTTAGCATAAGGCCTGGAACATTGTGCTCTATAAAAGGTAACAATTATTCTTTTTACTCCAAAGATTATGGCTTACTGTAATTATGTTAACTTCACCTGTGATTTTTTTCTCAATGTTATTCATATACTTTGACAGTCCTTCAGAAATTATTTATTCAACTATTTAGTGAGGTCACACTCTTTGTCAGGCTCTCGGAATATAAAGGTTTACATGAGGGAGGACAGATACTAAACATATAATTACAGGTCCTACTAACAGGAAGGGTGCCATGGAAGCAATTAACAGGAGTACTTAATTCAAGAAGAACTTGAAAAAGTGCTATTTAGATAGAGACTTGAAATATGAAGACATTAGCCAGGCAAAAAATGATTATGGCAGGCAATGTGACATATTCAACATTCCAAAGGCGAAAGAGAAAAGGGTGAGTTCAAGAGACTAAACTTGTCCTAAATGATTGGGGGGGAAAAAGAGCAAGGAAGAAAGTTAGATATGGGTGTGAAAAGGTTAGCAGAATCATATTCTTCAGGGCCAAATCAACCAAGTTAAGAATTATAAGACTTGATCCTAAGGGCAAAGGAAGCTATAAGGCTTTATGGAACACATTTAAAACAACTGCTGGGATGCAGAGTACAGAATGGATTTGAGAGAATGAATGAATGAATGCAGAGACCAGTTAGATAGTCTTACTGCATTTTAATTGTTAAGTGAAAAGAGCAGTGTTAGTGAAACTGGAGAGAAACAGACCTATTCAAGAAACTTTTATAAAGGAAACAGAATCACCAAGATATGAGCGGGGCTGTTGATATCAATATGGCGGTTGTCAACCAGACAAAGACAGAAGCTTTTTTCCAAAGATACTTTGGAAAATCTTAATCTCAAAAACAAGAATGTGCTGAACAAAATGTATTTCTGTGTACTGTGATTATTAATCTTATTTTTATTGGAGGAAGGGCTGCTGAGGATTGAACCCAGTGCCTTGCACCTGCTATGCAAGTGATCTACCACTGAGCTAAACCCTCAGCCCTTATGATGTAAATGCAGCCTACCTCATATTCCTGAAGCAGTACACAGGGCTAAAAATTTCAGGACACAGGAAGATGTATGCAAACCCTTTGGGAGGCACAACACAAAAGTCTAACTTAATGAGGAACAATGCTTTTGAAACTACTTTGGTAGTTTGATAAAGATTCCACATTATAGGCCATCAATCTTTCAACTTCAGAAGTTTTCAGTATGCAACCATGGTTTGAAAGTAAAGAGGGAGGGAATATCAATAGAAACACTTCCTTTTTCTCTGAGGCATCTTTTGATTCTTACAGAGAAGAAGTCATTTTCTTTTTTGCTTTTCATGTTTTCACATCTCTAAATAAATTAAACAGGATTTCATGAGCAAACCAAAGTGTATGTAAAGTAATGCCTGATACCATCATGAATGTGTTAAGCAAAATCTTTTTCACAGTTGCCTGCCTTCTGAAACTAAACTGAGCATATCAAATATGATTCTTTTTTTCTTGTATGTGGTATCAGTGTTTTGATTTCAGGAGCATTCTACCTGAGCTAGCTACATCCCCATCACTTTTTCAAAGTCTTATTTTGAGACAGGGTCTTGGTAAGATACCCGGGTTGCGTTCAAACTTGGGATCCTCCTGCCTCAGTCTCAAGAGTAGCTGCGATACAGGTGTGCACTGCCACACCTGTCTTGATTTAGTTTTTATTAGGATATATGTTCTATGTTTCAACCATTAAGGTGCCAAGCTCTTTTGATCCTATAGGTTGAAATCTTCATGGAAGGTCCTGTCCCACTATTTTTTTTTTTTTTTAGGTGTTGGAAATTGAACTCAGGTTGTCATGCAGGCTAAGCAAGCACTCTACCACTGAGCTACATTCCCAGGCTCCTACTTATCCTTTTTATCAGTTCAATCTCACCTTCCAGAAAGTTGTCCTCCCCAATCATCTGTTCTCTCATTTCACCAAACCTTGAATATGCCTTTATTTTACTGTGATCACAAGTGAACTGAAATTTTATATTGCTCTTCTATCTTCTTCCTTAGGTAGGGCAAGGGCTTCCCCTTAGGGCAAGAGTCGTAACTTTCAATCTGAACTGTTAAATGTGTAGCACACTAACACAGAGGCAAAGATATTCTTAAGGCTTACTAACCTGTATCCTTCCCCTTTCCTAAATGGCTTCAAGGGAGACAGTTTTGGAGTTGAATCTACTTTTAAGACTTTCTGACTTTCACTAAGAAAACAGCTGGTGATTATCAAATTAGAGTAGGTGGGTTGTAGTCATTGGAAAAGCATATTAAAATAACTATAAATAAATCTTAAAAAATAAAAACAAACATTTTCTTTTTGGGTGACATCACAGAAAATAATAAGCTGGCTGCAAGAACATAGACTTTAAAAGGTTGAGAAACAGCATTACACACCTGCTTTTCTATTTTCTTAATTATACTATCACTAATCCAGTAGAGTTGGAATAAACTAACTTGTCAGGACTGTGTGCACCATGAGAGTTAAAATGGCTCAAAACAAAGGTCAGAGAAGCTTTCCTAGAAACCAAGAGTTTGAGCTTTGGGATGCAAGACTTCTCCAGGAAGGCAGGCATGCTCCAACTTGCCTTGAATCATGCAGTCTACCCCAGCCCTAACCTGGAATCCCTAACACTTCCTTTCTGTGCATCCCAATCCGAGGCAGAGTTTGAGACTCAAATCCTTCAAGTTCGCGCTCTGGCCACTGCTTTCTCTGAATTTCAAGGACAGTCAGGTGTCTGTAATAGGAAATTTAAGAAGCAAGCAGGTTCAGTCAGATGTTCAAATCGAATCAGGCTTCTCAACAAAGGTAGGGAAAGAGGAGACTCCAGTTGGAAATAGGTTAAGAGACGCAGGTGCAAGCTAAGAAGATGGAACCCAGCGGACGTAGCCTAGCCTTAACTCGAAGGGGAAGGAATGTGACAGTCGGCCTCATGTTTGTCCAAAGGGACCCGCCAGAGAGCGACTGAGACCTCTGCGCAGTTGCGTGGGTGAGTGTATGGGGAGGACAGGCAAGGGAGCGAATTCAAACCTCCATCACAAAAAGCAGCCACAGTCTTCCTTGGGCCCCCTCAATTTCCAGCTCCCTATCTGCCACCCTTCTAGCGACGGTTCCCTGCCCAAGGTGGAAACGACGAAGTCCAAAAGCATCCCGCACCACCTCTGCCGTCCGACTTAGGAGTCGAGACTCACCAGTTTCATTTCAGACTTTTGGTGGTTCTATACCAGTCTCCGCACTCCTCAAGCCTAGCAAGCGCCTTCCGGTTCAACCTCGCCGCCGGCCGCCAAGAGCATCGCGGGACTTGCAGTCTTTCCTCCTCGCGCCCCTGCCCGGGGCATCCTGGGAAGTGTAGTCCTCCCAAAGCATGACGGGAACTGTGGTCACCTCTCCCTTTCCTTCCTCTCCTCTCGGAACTTACTCAAATTTATCTCCGCCGCCAATCCATCCTCCCTCTCCGCCCCAGCATGATATCATGTCCCAGAGAAGGGCCCGGCACCCATGGTGTTCTGGGACGTGTAGTCCCCGCAGCTCCGTTTCCCCTTACCCCGCCTCCCTGTGGGAAGGCGGATGGGCGCGGGCCTTGCCGGGAGCTGTAGTTCCCTGGGGCCTCCAGATGCCCAGCCCTGCATTTATACTCAAGGGAGGCAGAAACTACAACTCCCAGGGACGCCCGGCGGCAGCAGGTGGGAGCGGGGCTGTTGATATCAATATGGCGGTTGTCAACCAGACAAAGACAGTCAGTCTGATGTGATTGAGACAAGGGAGGTTTTCAGGGGGAAACTGGGAGACAGGGGCCTCCCCTCCCCCTTGTGCTCTTCCTGCGCGGCCTCAGCCCTCCCAGCCCCTCCCGACGGGCGCCCCACGCGGAAGACACCCCTCCCCCTCCCGCCTCCCTCCTCCCTACCCCAGCCCTTCGCACCGGGACGTTGGGGAGGGGGCTGTGCCGGGCAAGAGAACTCGGCGAGGATTCGGAGGTGAGTCGAGCGGTTTTGAAGCCGGACTGCCTCAAGTCTCTTTTCTCACTTGTTTCTCTTCACTTTAAGAGAAAAAAAGAAAATTGAGGGGCTTGGGGGAGAAAGTGAGTGGGCGCCGGGGATGGGTCTCCTCAGCGGCCGGTTGGAGAGGAGGGAGGAAGCTGGGGGCTGCCGAGGGGGCGACCCTGGCGCGGGGCGTGGGGTGGGGCAGTTCGTGAGGGGCGGAATTGAGAGGCGTCGACGGCTCTGCAACTCTGGGCTGCGGGCTTCCTCCACGAGGGGCGGAAGGTTTGAATTCCGGAGGTTGGTTCTCCTGCCCGGAGTTCGGGAACTGCGAGGTGGTTTCGAGGTGTGCCGGGCGGTGCGGGCCGTGGAGCGGTGGTGGCAGCCGCGTGACGCGCACTCGGGCGCCGTGCTGGTGTGAGGCACGTCTGGAGATGGGAAGTTGGAGGGGCAGAGGCAGAGCTCCCGCGGGCCTGGGCTGAGCGGCGTGCGCGCGTCCCGGTGCCGGACGGCGGGCGGCCGCGGTGGCTCGGCGGGTCCCGTGCCCCGGCCGGCGCGCGCTCCGCCCCGCCCCTCCCGGACAGATCTCCACCCCAAACTCCGGGCTGGAGGACTGTGGAGGTGGCGTGGCGCGGGGATGGCTCTCGGCATCCTGAAGTCGGTGGATAGGTGGGAAAGGAAAAGTGTTTCTTGATATTTTATTCCGGAACTGTGTTTGGGTTACACTATTGGGGCTACTTTGAAAGGAGTCCTCCACCCACCTTCACCCCGAAACAGTAGGTAGAGGTATCTTGTTGTCTTCCTGTTCAAAAAAATTCAGAGTCACCTAAAATTCGGGGGCGTGGGCTGGGGGTCAGGAGTGCTGGGCTGCGTACGCGTCTGTCTTCTGAAGAGACGGAATGTCTGCTGTGTGTCCTGAGATAGGACGACTTCATTTCATAGTAAGAGGAAACTGTTGGGAATTGTTTGCGGGGAAAGGGGGTGCGCTGAAAGTCGCCGCTTGTGTTTTTCTTCCACCCCGCCCTGTTCTGTCTTGCATCTGCCTGAAAGATGGTGTGGAAGAGTGAGGAAGCTTTGGGTGAGTGCGGGCAGGAATGCAGTTGGCAGTAAAGACACCATACTATGTAAAGTTGAATGGTGTAAAGTGATTCTCTCTTTATGTAGCCTGAAGCCTTTGCAAAACCTCATGTATCACACAGGGTAGAGTGATATGACAGGTCCGTTTCTCTGGAATCTTGCATGTCCAGAAACCTTTGCATTCTCTCTACCTCTCTGCCTCCCTTCCGTCCTTTCTTCTTCCTTTTTATTTCCCCTTTTCCTCCTGTCTTCCTTGACATGGTGTAGTTTTCTTCCTGATGAGCACAATGCCTTCTGTGCTTTTTTTACTTAGTTTGTGCCAATATGGTTGTGCTTGTTATCATTTTACCATAAAATGCGTCAATAAATGAAAAAGACCTGTATATGTTTTTATTTTGCATTTATGCTACAGGTAATTATAACATCGGGTTTGCAGTGCTTTGCATGGAACTTACTAAAATCACACAACTAAGTTGCTCCATCTAATTGGATTATAAATCAAGTTTGGAGAATTTGACTTTTGAATTTTCAGTTAGAGTTAAAAAAAGGAAGAGGAGTGCAACGTCTCTTGTTTCTCACAGTCTTTAATATTTAATAACATTATACCAGGAGAACTTAAGATCATATATTTGGTGCTTCCTTCAATCTGAAATATAAGTTCTTCAGTAACCCTCTGTGACACATTTTTAGTGTCATAGAGTTTTAAATGACTAAAGGAATTGACATAATTTCTATTTAGACTGTTGAGAAATTAATGTTATTACATATTTAGTCCAGACCTTATCAGTTCTTGGGTCTGCCACCTATCACTAAGAGACTTTTAGATTTCATAAAAACTGAAAGACATATGAATATACTATGTAATTTTTTGATAAGTTTTATAACCTCTGATTTGAAATTTGTGCTGTTGGTCATTCATACAGATAAGGGAACTGTAAGCATGAGGTAGCATATATATTTAGATTGACCTGAATAGAAAAAACATGAATGTGTATTCTGAATCTTGAATTTAAACTATAGAAAATGTTGCTCCAAAGCTGAATCTTTAGTTTGTTAGACACCAAGATTTCCATAATTACTTATTTTAAGCTTTTATCTTTACCTGAAATGTTACTTTGCAAAAACTAGAGAAAAATTGTATGTAACTACATAATAGTCTTTTTAAAAAGACATATTTTATAGTCATAGAATGTTAAAATGTATGCTAAGCATTTTAGAAATAAAAAAATAAAATGTTGAGAGTTGGAAAAATGAGTGTTTTCCACCACCCTTTGCTAAAAAAAAAAAATTATTTTGTTTGTTTTCATCTATGGAAATAGAGTTATTTGCTGGGAAAAGAGATTATTAAACTTTTTCTAATAGTTGGATCAAAATCATTACACATAAACCAGATCTATTCCTTGTATTCATTGGGCTGATTCTCTTGCATCTTACGCACTGGGGCATTAAAATGATGTAAAGCCTTTACTGCAGGTTAAAGCATAGAACATTCTCAGCATGAGGAAATCATATGGTTTATTAAAAAAGTGGAAAACCAGGGCATTGGTGCCTGTCCAGCTTAAAATTTCATCCTGTAACTGTAAAGACACATTTATTTTAATGTGATTACTTCTAAAAATGTTGCCTGTATTATGGGAAGTTGAAAATCCAAACTTTAAGACCAGTCTGTTGTTAGTTTTGTGTATTGTATAAAGTGAACACTGTCTGTGGTCACAAATATGCATCAAGGAAAGGAGACTTTAGTTTTACGTTCAACGTCTTCAGTGAGGATCCATTTTTGCTGCTGGGCAGATTTCAGTCTTCTAGCCCAAAACCTTATTTAAAACATTAGAAATAGAAACTTAATAGCTCATTATTGGTAAGTTTTAAGATATATCGCAACAAATCTCGCATTGTTTCATTCCGGCAGTTTTTGTGGCAAGTGCCTGTTGGAATACCATTGCTTCTTTCAGTATGTGTTGAATTCATTAGTAATACTCATCTTTGTTCTTTTTTGAGTCTCCTGTATGTTACATTCATTCCATCCCCGTTTTATATGTTTCAGAGAGCTACCATGTTTCCCGTAAAAATCATGTTTTCTTTTTCTAGTCATTTAATTGTAATTCTTTTATTTTTGAATGCAGTTTTTAAAATTTATATTATTTCTCCTGGAAATTACAAATTTATCCTAATGTTATTTTTCTCAAAGTCGGTGTAATATTCAAGTTGTAACCATTTATAGATAAACAAAAATGCTCAGTGAAAATGTGTTAGTTTTTTGTTTTGTGTACTTGTTTTATATACATATTTGGCTTTCTGAGCCTCACTTTAGTATTCTTTGCTAGATTTTTTTTTGTTAAATGCTGGCATTTACTTCTCAATTTAGTGAAAGCACAGTTTATCTAGAGTGTCATATGTGTATATCTATACCTGCACTTACATATATACAAAGCATTTTTATATGTCTATCAGACCTGCCACCCATTAAAAAACAACAGAGCCACAAGTAGCAGGAGACTGTGAATAGTATTTCATCCTGGGAACCAGAATAACTTCCAGTACATGCTGTCCACATTAGAGGTGCTTTGGAGATTTTCAGTATCATTATAAACCATTATTTTTGACACATTTTGCCAAAATATGGTTCTTTGAAAATGGGAGCTATTGCTTCAAAATTTATCTCAAAATTAAGTAATTAATATGTGACTTACATTTTTAAGTGCAGTTACCCCTAGATGGCTCATACTAGACTTAGAGCCCTTTACAGGTGCAGGGTGGAGATTTTTTTTTAAGTGATTATTTGATGTGAAACTTTTAGTTGCACAGTGTAGTAGCTCCATGAAAAACAGCAACAAAAAATATACCTTTTAATTAGCATCTGTTCAAACATAATTTAGTGCTTTAGATAACTTGTTTTTCTTGAACTTAAATGAAACAAGTTGGAAATTTACTACAAGTATATCTTAGCTAAGTACAGTGGTGCATGCATGCCTGTAATCCATTGCCTGGGGAGGCTGAGGCAGGAGGATTAAGAGTCCAAAAGGGAGGTGCTAAGCAAATCAGTGAGACCCTGTCTTTAAATAACATACAAAATATGGCTGGAAATGTGGTTGAGTGGTCTAGTGCCTCTGAGTTCAACCCCAGCCCCCGCCTCCCACCAGTGGTCATGTGCCTCTGAGTTCAATCCCTGTCCCCTCCCCAAATAAAGATTATTCCAAGGGCATGGAGCTGGTGGAGAGCTGGGAGAGTTCCCAGGGAGTGTGTGTGGAGTGCTGGTGGAGGCAATAGTGGCTCGTGGCAACTAATGTAGTATTTTATGGATCCTTACCCCATAAGGGTAGTGTTTTATTTATTATTAACATTTACCACAAAAGGGGAAAAGTAATAATAACCTGCTTTAGCTTTGATACAATCGTTTTGATTTTTTCATTCTTAAAATAGGCAATACCAAACACATTACTTTTGAGTGACAAAAATGATTCTAATCCACTCAAAGAACATTTGGATTTTTCTTAAATTTAAAATAGTGATAATGATTAATATGTTTACTAATTTTTTAAGAAAAAATACTTTGTTTTAGTTGTAGTTGGATACAGTACCTTTATTTTATTTTTATGTGGTACTGAGGATCGAACTCAGAGCCCTGCGCAAGCTAGGCAGGCACTCCTCTGCTGAACCACAACCCCAGCCCCTGTTTACTGAATTTTACATACTGTATATAGATGCTGTAGTTCCTTTGTGCATCTTGTGTTCAGTGATGGTCTACATATGGTGTATTGAAAACATTTAATAACTCTCATTACCATACACATATTAAACAATTAGTATGGAGTTGCCAGGCAACAGTACTTTATGTAGTCTGAATCTTTATAGAGGGAAATTCAAATGCTATGGGTACTGCTGAAATAAGGATGACTTGATACTGAACCTATCTGCCTTAAGATTTTGATAAAGGGCTGGGGGTTGTAGCTCAGGAGTAGAGGACTGGCCCACCATGTGTAAGGCCCTAGGTTTGATTAGCAGCCCTGCAAGAAAGTAAAAAAGTACTTGGTTGCTGGGCATGTTGGCAGTTGCTTGAAATCCCAGTGACTTGGGAGGCCAAGGCAGGAGGATCCCAAGTTCAAGCCAGCCTCAGCAATTTAGTGAGACCCTGTCTCAAAATAAAAAAGGAATAGGGATGTAGCTCAGTGGTAGAGTGCTTGACCCCACATGCCTGAGGTGCCCAGAGTTATCCATAATATTGCAAAACAAAAACACACCACAAACAAAACAAGAAAATGAACACATGGAAAGCTTGGCATGGACCTAGTCAGTAAAGCCTTGGAGTCATCCTCTCTCCTCATCCAGTTGTGACATCAAGTTGGTTTTGCACTCTTGGTATATATATTCACTTATTTTCATTCTGTTGCTAGTCCCTTAATTCAGGCTTTTGTTGTTTCTGAAATATTAGTCCCTTAACTAATCTTGTTGCTTTTACTTTTTTTTTCATTAGTCATTCTACACTCATACCTGAGGGTTTTTGCCAAAATAAAATGTGAATTTGATTGTCTGCCATACTTTGCCTATAATCCTTTAGTGACTCCTGGCCTTTATGA